GCTGATAAATTATCTAATGAACAGTTGTCAAATGAGCAATCAATTTTTTGCTCATTTAGCGAATGAGCAAATAGTTAGTTGCTCATTTGACACATTTGTCAAATAATGAGCAAAAACTTAGTAAAAATTTATTTGCTCATTTGTCAAATGAGCAAATAGTTAGTTGCTCATTTGTCAAATGATCAAACATTTCTCTAATCATTCAGTAAATCAACAAGCATTTCTTTGCTCATTTGTGAAATGAGCAAACATTTGTCAGATGAGCAAATAATTAGTTACTCATTTGTAAAATAAGCAAACATTTCTTTGATCATTTGGGAAATGAGCAATCAATTTTTTGCTACTATACTAAGCACATAAAATACTACAATAGTATGCTTAATTAAAAAGGAGATGTTAAAGATGAAATACTACAATAGTATGCTACTATACTAAGCACATAAAATACTCCTACTATAATAAAGTATTAATGCATGCTTCTTTTTGGTTTATAGTAATAATGAGGTCCCATATTTTACAAATCATTTCAGTCGTGTAATATGTAGTTATGTAGTTGCTAGTACACTGTTTACGACCAATGTCAGACCAAAGATTCAAATAATTAAGAGGAGAAAAGCAGGCTACCATACAGAGTCACAAAAACTGATTAATCAGTTTATTATAATATTATTCACACCATTCTAAATGTATACCTATATGTTATGAACTTAAATAGTCACTTGCAAGTGCTATTGAACCAACTTTAGACGAGATACATAACAAAACTGTTATACTTTTTGATATGCTAACCAAATTCAAATGAGCAAGCTTAATTCAAATGAGCAAACTTATATTAAATTGAGCAAACTAAACAGAAATTAAATGATGAAACAATTCTGTCTAGTTATCCGTCAAAAATACACTAAAGTACTCTGAAAATCCTCCATAATTAGAAAAATTTACCAAAATTTCATGATGTTCATCTCTAGAAAAAAAGTGGACTACTATGAGTTCATGTATGTGTATAGGTATCATGTTTTACTAAGACATGTTTATATTAGCAATAATGTATGAAAGGATAATAAAAATCAAACATAGAAATATGGAAGTGAATAGAGGAAACGATAAATCGGATGATGAGGTAGTAAAAGTGATAATAAAAGTCAAGTTCGAAAATCTTAGCTCTCAGGTTTGGTAACAAAGTCATGATTATAACTCTAGCAAAAGTGCATACTCCCTAAAGTGCTCTCAGTAGTAGGACGAAACCTTGGAACTGGTGCACCAGCAAGTCTAGGAAAAGAGCCACTTCCAAGAAGACCATCAAGTTCATGGGGGCTTTGCCATGACCTCCTTGCCTGACTTCTATAACGCATTCCAAATATTATTGCAGAAGAGAATCAGTATTTAGCCTAACTCATCAAAACTACTTCAACAAATTCCTAATTTAGAAATGCCCATATAATCCTACATTTCTACTTATGTAACATTACCATTTTATCTAAAACAAACCTTTTTTAATAATCAGAATGTATTAAGTTCCTTTGGCAATATAAAATCCACATAACTTGAATTTCTCAACTCCTCAAAACATCAAAGTATAATTTTACATCAACTCAAGACACACCAATGGCATTTCATATAAAATGTTCAAGAATCATCATAGGCCATTCATATCAAATTAAAATGAGCAAATTAAAATATATGAGCAAATTAAAATGAGCAAATTAAAATGAGTAAAGTAAAATAAAATGAACACCATTCATCAAAGTTCATACATCGTTTGCAAAAATGAAATAAATTGATTGTAATCACCGTATATTACTTCTAAAGTTCCAGAATACAAATGAAATACATAACACAATTGCTCAATTACAATGAAAAAAATTTGAAAAAATCAATAAATTGATTGTGTTGACAGATAAAAACGCTACAAAATAAAAGTCAATAAATTGTTACTTACATTCTTCGTTCATAGGTAAGAACTAGAGAGTTTGCTTTGCCGTTGGGAGCTCGTGTTGAATCCATTTAGCAATTCACGATTTTTAAGGTTTAAAGTGAAATTGAAAAAATTATAAGCTAACAATATTTATAGATTGAAGTCAAAAATCGAATAATAAGTAATTATTACAAACCTAACAATATAGTTGAAGATTCAAGCTAAAAATTGATGATATTGAGGCATTACAATCGAAGAACTATGGGAGAGAAGAGAGAGAAAGGGAAAAGCTAGATCAATTTCTAGAGAGAGAGAAAGAGAATTAGCAGCAACAATTTTAGAGAGAAAGAGCTAGACTAATTTATATAAAGTTTCTTGTATACAACTTAGAAAGTTCTTTTATTTACAAAAAGTGCCATTACTTTGACCGGGTAGAGTTTGGAGTGTTGGATGTAATTTGATCCAATGGTTGTAAGTTGTTCTCACATATGATGGGTTCTCATATAGGGGAGGGGTTCTCACATGATCCCATTTCTATATATATATATATATATATATATATATATATATATATATATATATATATATAGTTTTTTCCCAAGATTTTAGAGAGCCACCTATGATTTTTATTCCTAAAAAATTATTGGAGCGTAATGTAGGATTATTATTTTTATAGCATTACTTATAGGATTATGATTGTTATTTTAAAGCGCCATGTAAGATTAAAATTAAAAGTTTGAATTTATTATAAAAATAAAATTGGAAATTTTATCTAAGAGAAAAGAAACAATTTATTGTATTTCGTATATATAAAAAAATTACAATTAAACTTAAAAAAAAATGAAATTCAAATTCAATTGATATTTAAAAAAAAATTAGATTAGATAAAAAAAATAATGAAAATATGACAAGTGATTATAATAAAATATTTTATAAAAATATACTAATAAAAAAAATCATGTTAAATTATATAAAGGGGAGTTTTTTTCCAAGATTTTAGAGAGCCACCTAGAATTTTGATTTTTAAAAAATTATTAGAGCATCATGTAGGATTAATATTTTTAGAGCGTTACGTATAAGATTATGCCACATAGGATTGTTATTTCAAATCACCACGTAAGATTAAAATTAAAAATTAAAATTTAAAAAATTACTATCTTTTTAAATTGGAAATTTTATTTAAGAGAAAAGAACAATTTATTTATTTCATATATATAACAAAATACTATTAAACTTCAAAATAAAAATAAAAATAAAAATTGGATTAGATAAAAAAAATAATGAAAATATGAAAAGTGACTATAATAAAATATTCTATAAAAATATACTAATAAAAAAAATGTAATCACATTTAATTAAAAAAAAATCAGTTTTCTCTCAAAAAAAAATAGTTTTAAATTACATACAAAAAATAAGAAAAAATCATTGAAATTAAAAATATATCCTTTATCTTTTTCTAGAAAAAAAATAAAATGTTCATCATTTATCATTTATTTGTCTTAAAGATTAATTTTTACGTTAATAAAATAAAATTGCCGAGTGAAATTTTAAAGTTTAAATTAATAAATATAAAATATTTTCTTTTGATATTAGAAATTTCATCTAAATATATAACGAATGAGAGAAAATTCACAATTTATTTTAAAATAAATAAAATAAAAATATTAAATGATAATATGATATACTACGTACAACGAATAAATAAAGTAACAAAAGGAAAATATATATATATATAAGTTGTAAAAAAATACAAACAAACAGTGCATCGCATGGGGTTCATCTAGTTATATTATAATTATATGGCAAAGATAATTTGAAGAAGATTAAAAATAAATAATAATAAAAAAAAAAAAACTAAGTAATTTTGAAGGGAAAAATCAGCACCAAGATGTGACAAGTGTCATTCCTGTTTTAGTATTGTGTTATTGATTCCTCACCATTTCAATAACGTTAGATATTGGGTCGTTTGGTAAGAATACATTCAAATTACCATTATATTAAGTGACCGGATATGAAGTAATTTGATTTTGAAATTCCATTGTTATAAAAATTGTCTTGTCCAAACATACTACTACGCATTATTTTTTCAAAGAAATAAAAAATGTTGTTCTATTGTCTAAAGTATTCTTATTTTTAACAAAAACTTTTAAGTTTAAAGTTGGTCCCTTTCTTCTTCTTCTTCTTCTTCTTCTTCTTCTTCTTCTTCTTCTTCTTCTTCTTCCAAGATTTGCCAGTGATCTACTTACAACTTATATGGGCCGAGGGCGATGACTATAGTGAGACTTGAACTTGAGACCAGGCAGAAAACTAGGAATTCCTTACCAATAAATTATAGATCAACTTAATTACCTAACACACTAAGGAAGTAAGTCTTTTTTATTTTTTCTAATAGATTATAGGTCCTTTGGCACATTTCACATTTACGATGTGGCCTACCAATTCTACTCCCTAGCTTTTTTAGATGTTACCACAAACATCATGGCAACACGAAAAGAATATGTCAACTGCTTTTACTGCTTTACATACCACTTGCTTGCATTGCTAAATTGCTTTTATTGGAAACAGAGGGAAGAAGCTTGTTTGTTAATCATCATTTTCTTAAAACTTTGTATCTTTAAGAGTTTTAACCGTTATTATTATAAGCATCCAAGGATGTAGAGTACACTTCTTGTTATACCTTGCTCCATTTCATCTTGTTCAGTTTCGGTTTTCGGGTTAAATGGTTAGGGCTCATGTTAACTATGAGTATAGGCTTGTCAACAGGACATTAGAGTTAGGGTGCAGAATAGTTAGTGTGTCAAAGATGGTAACAAGAAAGCAATAGCCTCAAACTATGGGCATGTTTTACAATTGATTGTAGAAATTGTAAATGATTACTTCCTCCGTGTTTTAATAATTGGCCTATAGTCTCATGACTCACCGATTTTAAAAAAAAATTAGATAAGCTAAGTAGACAGGTTAACACCAAAAAGATGGTGGAATTGATATTCTTTTTATTTTTATGAAGTGTGTTTAACATCCTTAAATATCGTCTAATGGGACAAATAAATAAAAACGGAGAAAGTATATGCAAAAATCATCAAAATTTTGAAAGCATTTAAACATTTGAACAATTTCATTAAACATAAGTTTTTACACAAACAGCAAAATGATGTTCTTCAGTACAATCCCCAACTCATTTCTCTTACAAAAACATAAGAAAACAAGAAGAAATGTTCAAATCAGAAAAGAAACAACAAAAACACACAAAACTAATGAGTGCCAATGAATCGAAGAATACAATCAATCAAAAAAACAAACGAAAACAAAGAAGAAGAAAAAGAAAAACCAATGTATGTATGACATCAAACTAATCAGTGCAGAATATATATATCAGTAGTCGACATCGCAGTCTGTCTTCTGAAACCTCTTATCATTCGAGAAGTTAACAACCACAGGGGAGCATAATACCTTCAACTTATAATGCCGTGTTTTGAACGCTCCTACCTTGAACCTAATCTTCGCGTTGATCTTTACATCAAGATCGACCTGTCCACCAGTCCTCTCGAGTTTCAGATGCTGAGCAGAATCTGATGACAGTACGACATCCTTAACATTTTTCTGATACATAAGCCTGGTGACATTTTTCTTAGGCTGTCGAAATGGATCCATATGATCCGAGGACACATTTTGGCCTCGATAGTACACTGTGACATCCATTCTGTCATAGTATATCACGGCCTTATTGTTGGGATTATATGTCCTAATGACAAAATTGAATGTGGATGTTAGACGACTGTTGTTCAAGTTGTAGTCCCTGATCCACCCTTCATCAACAGAGTACTGAATCTTCTTCGGCTTAATGGCAAGCCAAGTTATGAGGATGGCAAGCCCCACGATCACGATCAATGCTAGACAACATATGGCACATAGTGTAATTGGACTTCTTTTTCTAGTAGTAGTACCTTGTGGAACAGCCATATTTTTCGAGGTTTAGGGGGTGAGGTACGAATACAATGTGCTCGAAATCAAGGGGTTTGGTATGATGATTATATCAGTTTGTAGCTGTATCTTTTTATATAGGATCAGAAAATGGACTTAGATTGCTTCATTTTTGGTGTTAGAATTAACATTTAGTATGTACTACTTTGAAGATTCTGTAAACAATCCCATTTATCCTTCTTTTCTTCTTTCTAATTATACTTTTGCTTTTTGATTTCTTGTATGTAACTCAAGACATCTAAACTTGGAAATTTTAATATTTAATCTTAATTTTATTATATGTGGGTTCCAAGTATTTGGAGAGATGGGATTTTAGAGAGAAGAATTTTGAATTATTTTTAGTTGAATTTAAATTTTTTTTATTTTTTGAAACCAAGTTAAATTTAAATTAGTATACAGTATAGTATATATAAAGTGTTCTTTGCTTCTAATAATGTGTTAAGTTAAGCTGTCATACCAATTTTGGGGTTTAGAAATGAAAAAGTGGGGTTAATTTTATGTTGGGAAACTGTAGATTCCTACAAATTGTTCATTAAACAAGTAAATTCATACATAAATTATCAGACTAAATCTTAAAGAATTATGAAAAAGGAATAACAAATATCCAAAAGTAATTATTCTGTAAAGAAAGCTTCGGAAAAAGATTTGGTTTTCCTCACTGTCAGTAGCTTTGCCTCCAAGATATTTTAGCTAGGAAGAAGCCTCCAGTATGGCAGTATTCCTTTCCAGTTCCGAGTGTAAGGCTCCATTCACTTCACCTTATTTTTGTTGAGCTGAAATTATTTTATTGAACTGAATTATTTTTGCTAAACTTTTTTTTTTTTGACAGAAAGCAAAGCTTAGCATATATTATCAAATCATCAAGTTTTCAATATCAGTACAAACAAGCCCTTGAATAATTATTTTTGCTAAACTTAACTTATTTTTTCTGAACTGAAATTATTTTTTTACATTTTTTTTTTTATATTTCTTCTTTAAGTTTACTGATTTTTATTAAACTGAAATTATTTTTCCTGAATATTATTTTTTTAAGGTAAAGTGAACAGGGCCTAAGTACTGCCTCCTATATGATCATAGGGTCCATGCCCAAAAAGAATTAAGTGTTGTCTAACCGGGCTTTTATTAATTTATTGTAAAATGGGTTAAAGTTATATTAAAAGTGTTTAAATTATCCTTATTTACTACAAGTATGTCACTGACAAAAAAACAAAAATTGGTAAAAATAATTCCCAAAATTGCAAAAATTTGTGACTTTATTAAAAAAAACAATGAAACCAATTATTCATTCAAAACTTAATTACTCCCTGTTTGGCAAATGAAGGTGTAGAGGCCAGGTACGGTAGATGTTATAGTCATGGCTGTAATTATTAGCTTTGTGAATAAACTGTTAGTTGTCAATAAGTTGTTAGTTGTGAAATGAAATAATTAAAGTGCTCGAAAAAGTAGTTTTTGACTAATTATTACTAGTAAAAATAAATAAAATTTTTATAGATTGTAGGAATAATTACCAACTACTAATTTTGCTTTTCAAAAGCTAATAAGTAATTATTTCAACTTTTGATAAAAGTTACCTCTATCATACACCATACCCCACCACTACATTATAAAACACTCGAAATTTAGGGGACTCCTCTTCCTCCAATCTCATCGAGTGAGTCACACATAAATTTTGGCACACTATTATTTTTTAACGTTTAAGAAAATCTATATTATCAACCATAACCTTTGGCACACTATTATTATTTTTAACGTTTGAGAAAATCTACACTACCACTACCTCTATCACTAATTGCTACCCAAACCACTACCTTATCAAGCGGTCTTATTTTTTTTTTCTATTAGTATTTTCACCCAGACACAACGCTACCCGCTACTCCAAACGTTGCCGCTGAATGAACAGGGTCAATGTCTTTTAATATATGCTATTTTTTTCACTTAAATCCATATAGTTCATGGAAATGACATTGATCATCAGATGTGAAAGAAAATAGTAGATTATGTCATTTCATAAATGTCATTTATTGCACTAAATCAATAGTTTGTGTTTTAGGCTACACCCAAGCTCATATAGTGCATGGTATAGATTGCACTCGCTGACATGTATTGTTGGGTGCACCCAAGGCATATTTATTGATGTTGCTGAAGCTAATTTTGCAAAGAATAGAAATAATAAGAATAAGAATAAAATCATGCATTGTATATTTGTACGGGTTTAAATCTAGTGTGTTATATACGTGAGTTTTTAGGTTTATAAATGATTTACTACCTTCGCTTCATATTACTAGCAACATTTGTCAAAAATGACTGCTTCACATTACTTGCAACAAATATTTCTCTTTCCTTTTATAGTAAGTTTTTGGGTACAAAAGACCATTTTACCCTTACCTTTTTTATAACACCTTATTATAACTACATACTAATCTACTTTCATTATCTTTAAAACTAGGTTGATTATCATAACCATTCCCACCAAAATTACATCCAACCTTTTAAAATCAACAATTCCCTAACCACCTTCATTAAATGCATCTGCATTCAATTCATCTGTTGAAGATGGTTGGGTGCAATCAATTCTGGAGAAATATCCAAAAAACCCACCCCCCCCCCCCCCCAAACCCTAGTTCTTCATTTTCCCCCTCTTCTCTCTCTTCGAAGTCGATCTCCTCCTCCCTCATAATTTTCTGGGTTTTCTCGTTTCTCTCTCCTGCGTTACTTTCTTCGATTTCATTTCCTCTTCACCAGGATTTCTTCAAAGGACGACAACCTAGATCTGTTTTGTTACGAGTCCCTTCCATCTCCTACTACAAAATGCCTCGTTCATCTTCCCAAAGGTACAAACCACGGCGTGGATCTAGTGTCATGAAACCAGTTTGCCGCGCTTCTTTGATTGCTAGGAGGAGGATTCGTGGGGCTAAATTTTATGTTAGAAGGGTCCTACATGTTGGATCTAAGACTGGGGACTCTGGCCCAATTGAGTTGACTGCTAGTGAAGTTCTGCAGCCACTTGAGTCCCTTCAGATGCAGGGTGGGAGTGGTGGTGGCCCTAGTATTGGTGCAAAGCGCATCAAATCTGGCCTCCCTAAAGGTCTTGAGCCAGATGATGTGTACATGGCGTACCTGTAGATCTATTACCCCCAGTACTACATTCCTCCAAACTAATTGCACATCGTAAATTCTAAAACCTTAATTTTTTTTTGGATGATTTGAGTTTGATTTTTGTTTTGGTTATTGTTTGCTCTGGATTTGTTCACCCCTTATGGAAACCCTATTTTTGCTACACTGATGGTGTTCTTGGTTGGCTTGTTTGTGTTTTGGTGGCCTGATGTTCACCTTGTTGCCTTGTTATAATTCTGGATGAATGTTTGTTGTTGCTGGTTGCCTTGTTTTTGTTGGTGTGGCCTGTTTGTTGTTACCATGATGTTAATTGTGGTTAGCTGGGTTTTTTTTTTGTGGTCCCCTGATGTTCATTATGGTGGCCTTTTGTTTATTGTTATGGCCTCCTTATAAGGTTGTGGTGGCCTGATTGTGTTGGGATGATGTTGAGTGTATTTGCCTTATTGAATTTGAGTCCCCTAGTTGGTACTTTTATAGATGCATTAATTCCTAAAATAAATACTGCATCTTTGTGTTTAAGTTACAAATGATGAAGGGACTCAACTAATAGCTTATTGTTAAGTGAGGAAGCTCTAGTGACTTCTAGTTGAGGTTGATGTTGATCTGAGGAACCCACTTATTACAAGATTGCTTTGAGTGAAAATACCCTATCTGATGGACTAGGTACAAAAGGTTTTTCTTTTCATGCATTCAAAAAGTTTGTTCAGTAACAAAACTTATTTAAATTAACTTTGTCAAACTAATATGTGACTGCCTACTAATGTGATCTAAGTATTTACCAAAATACACATAATGGTAGGCGGTCGCACACCTAGCAAAAATAACCTAACTAATCCTCCTAACTATGTAGTAGGGCAAGTCAAGGTCGATTCCACAGAGACTATGGTTCACCTAAAATTATCTAGACTCAAGTTATTACTAAGCAAGGATCAACAACGGTGGAATAATCTGAAACTAAAGTATGGAAAACTAAAAATGAATCAAAAGAATATGATAAATCAAATAACTAAAACATCCAAGATCAAGTATCACCACAATTACGATCGATGCAATTATATTTCTACCCCTAACATACAATTCCAATCGAATGGGGAAAAGTAAACCTAAATCAATACCAAGGACCTCTCTCGAGTATCAATGGCTTCCCTAACATACAATCAAGCCTATTCTCATGGTATCATGCAAATTAGAGACATTAAATACATTACTCTAACTTCCCAATTATCAACCCAACTATTCTCATGTTGAATCTCAAACCCTAAATTGATCTACCCAATTCCGTTTAAACCCAACTCTCATTATGATAGAAACAATGGAATAATAACAATACTAATTATCTCTAATCTAGTGTTGGCATAATCACAATCAATTTAGCATAAGCAATTGCAAAATTTATTAGAGAATTTAAAGAATTAATTCATGCATCAATCATAATTGGGCTACCCTACATCTTGAAATAAGGAATCTACTCACTCATAATGAAATAAACAATAACAAAAATAATTAAAGAAAACATAATTAAGAAATAAAAGATGAAAAGAAAATATTGAATCTTGAATTGAATGGAAAATTGAACGTATAAATCTTGAATCTTAAATTACAAAAGCAAAGAAAATTAATGGAGAGTACTAGGTTTTAACAATGTAAACTAGAGGCTAATAAAACTTAATGATGAAATAAAACAATGCTTAGTGTATTTATACTCCTAGAAAAACAAGAAAACAAGTAAAAGACTTGGCGCACAATCCTTCCAGGAGGCCGGACGTGCCTACAAGAGGCACGGACGTGCCTCAGATCGAGTGCTTGTTGCCTTGGCTTCTGACGTCCAGGCACGGACGTGCCTGTTCTGGGCACGGACGTGCCTGAACTGCTGCGCGTATCACTCATCTTAAATCAGTCATAACTTCATATCCGGAGCTCTGTTTGAAGCGTGTAACATATTGTTGGAAAGGTCTTCAAGTCTAATTTCCAATGCAATTTGAATCACTCCATTATAATTTGTATATCAAAATTTATGAGCATAATAGTGAACAAATGTCATATTTGTCAAGTATTTCATCAACGTTTTGCTTCATTTTCACTCAAGTTCGTCTCGAACACATGATTTGATATTCTTAAGCAATATGTTTTCATACTCCATGATTATTATACTCAAGATTAGCCAACCATACTCCATTTGCATATAAATCACTGTTGTAGGAATCACGATTGCATTTAGCGTATGCAACAAGCCCTTTAAACCCCTAGGCTACCCTAGTGGACGAGTAAGGTCTCGTGAAGGTTTGTGGGCTTCGGCTTAGCTTCGTGACTTTTTAAAATCTCCAAATTAGCTCCGTTAATCCTGAAATACATCAAAAACAACGAAAATACCCATAAAAGCACCGAATCATCGAAACTAAACCAAATGACACCAAAATGGACTAAAACACTCGACTAAGATAATAAAACCAACCAAAAATAAGCTAACAAATATGCACAAAACAAGACTTATCAAACTCCCCCAAGCTAGACTAATGCTTGTCCTCAAGAATTTAACCATGAATCACAAGGGAGGAGAAAGACAACTTCTCAAACCATCATAATGTGCCATCAATTTGAAATCACGAGGAAAACAAAAATAAGAGTCAATATGCATAAAACCACCATAAACCTCTTAAACTTGGAATCGACAAACATCTTACCACACATCTCCCCAAACCAACTCACACAAACATAAATAGCTCTCACTTTAGTTGTGAAAAATAAAAACAATAAACGCTCATGTGTTTACGGGTGAAATATGATATCACTCAACCTAAGCATAGAATGCATGTCAACTTCACATGAATTGTCCTCTTTAGGCTTGCAATGTGACTTTCTCCACTTCTAATAATTGATGCAATTACGAAAATCATGAAATCCATAAAGGCTAAGCTTGGTAAACAAGGGTTGGACGACGTTATTTGGGAATGTGGTGCTCAAAATATAACAAATCCTAATCCCACTACACATTCAAATGTCGGGTTCAAGCCAACCTTATTTCCTCCAACTTCATACAAAATAAGCATAGCTCTTTTATTTCTTTCTTTTCCTTCTTTTTTTTTTCAATCATACTCTCTTTTTTTTCTTGCAAAAAGAAAGGGACTCATAGCAAATTAGGAATTAGGAAGACTTTTAAAACTCTTTAATTCGAGGTAAGGATATGTGAAAATCCAAAAACCCTCTTTTTTTTTCTTTCTTTTCTTTCCTTTTCTCTTCTTCCTTCCTTCCTTCTAATAAATCAATTCCCTTCTTTCTCTTTCTCTTTTTTCATATTTTTTTTTCATTCATTTTTTTTTCATTTATCACTCATAGGGCTTTAACAAGTGTAATGCTCCTTCAAAATAAACCTAGGACAATAGCTCTATGTCTTTAAACGTAGGGTATCAAGAAGGGGGATAAACACGGCTCAAAATGGCTCAACCTACGGGTGAATGAAAAATAAAAATAATAGTTATGTAGGCCTAGAATGTTGAGACTCTATTCTCTACAAGGAAATTTCAATCATTTTTTCGCAACATGCATCATTCAAGTCTCAAACAGTCAAAGAACAAGACCAAGAATTCAATTATATGAAGGTCAACTAATCACACATGAAGAAACACAACTGAGATAGAGTGAAATCAGTCAAATATTGCTCAAAAATCTCACCGGGTACACAAACTATTCACATAAGTAGAGCGGGGAGACCATCCTGGCCACAAACCAACTCAATTCCAAGCAAATTGGTAAATGGGTTTTCGAAAACTCTTTTCGCAAAGCACACATATATGATCATTATCATAGAAGCATAGGTATGTAATGGCATATCAACAACACTAAAAGGAAAGAAACTAACCAAATACTAAGGAAAAACTAATATATACATGGTGAAAAGTGATTCCTCCCCCAAGCTAAACCATACATTGTCCTCAATGTATGTATAAAACAGTGTAAATGGACAAGGGGAAAAGGAAACAGATCTACTGATCGGGAGGGGGAAAACCACGCCTCGGGTCGGAGCTAGGTTGGAAGCACGGGCGTGCCTTATTTCGTGGACTCCTTCTTCATAGAATTTTCTCTTTTCACCTATTTAGATAGAGAAAATAATAAAAATTAGAACACTTATAACCACATCTAGAATCAAAAATAAAAATAAAAATAGGAATAAAAGAAAAGTAAAGGATCAAGAATGGGTTGCCTCCCATTTAGCGCTTGTTTATACGGTCTTTAGCTCGACCGTAGTGATAGCTCAGCCTGGATCACCGCACGAAGGGGGAACTCCGCAATGTTGCCCATGGGAATGATTGCCTCCAAGTGACTCCTTCATTTTATTGTTTACCTGCCTTATATCCGAACTCACCTTCATATGGCCAAACGCATCATCAGGTGGAATTTTGTCCTTGCTTCTCTCGAAATTTCTATCAAATACATACTTATCAAACAAAGGGTTAGTAGCATCGATTCTTAAGCAAGTACCACCATCAAATATAGAATTATGTTCATCAAAGAGCTTGAACATGACTTGTTTATCCTGGGCCCTAATGGTCACTTGTCCTTTAGGAACATCTATTAAAGCTTGACTTGTGGCAAGGAATGGACGACCAAATATAATCGGGATCTTATGGTCTTCTTTCATGTCCATAACAACAAAATCAACAGGAAAAACAAGTTCACCAACCTTAACTAATACATCTTCAACCACACCCTTAGGAAGTCTAGAGGTCCTATCAGCCAATTGAAGAGAAATAGGGGAAGGTTTAAGTCCTTGCAAGCCTAAACTCTCATATAATGAATAGGGCATTAAGTTAACACTAGCACCTAAATCGCACAAAACCCTTTCGAAAAATTTTTCGTTTATCGTGCAGGGAATAGTGAAACTACCAGGATCATGCAGCTTAGGTGGTAGGTTATCATATAAGAGAGTAGGGCCTTTCTTATTTACTACTTCCTTATCCTCATGTTGATCTTTAATATTCTTTACAAAATTTGCAAATTGAGGCATTTGAATTAAAAGATCGGAAAAGGGAGTAGAAGCGTGTACCTTCTCAAGGGCTTCGCAATATTTCCCAAAATGTCTATCGAGTACGGCTTTTGACAACCTTTGTGGGAAAGGCATTGGTTCCTTATAAGCCGGTGGAGCAGCATATTTGGGGCCTTGGATATCTTTGCCCCTTTCATCCTCCTAGACTCCACACTGCACACCTTCTCACCTATTTGCCTCGGAGATGGTTCATCTCTTCTCAAGAAAACTGCATTGCATTGTTCTTTCTGGACCTTTACTTGATCATGAAGACTCGATAGGCGACTCACCTGTTGTGAAAGTTGACTTATTTGGGTTTCCATAAGCTTACTCTGGGCTTGCAACTGTTGGATGGAGTTACCTTGTTGTTGGATAGAGCTACTTTGTTGTTGGATGGCACTATTGGTTGCGGTAATAAATCTCTCCATCATTAACTCAAGGCTAGATTTTTGGGGAAGTAGTTGCGTTGGTTGTTGGTTCATAGGTGGTCTTTGTTGGAAACCGGGTGGTGAGTTATAGTTGTTGGGTAGGGATGGTTGTGATGGTGGATTCTGTTGTGCTTGGGTGTTCTTATAAGAGAAGTTGGGATGTTGTTTCCAACCTTCGTTGTAAGAATTGGAGTAGGGATCAAAAGGTTGTTTAGGGTTCGAAGAGTAGAAAGCATTGGCTTGTTCAATAAACATCTCACTCATGTTCTGCGGGCAATCCGGTGCGATGTGGCCCTGCACATTGCACAGTTGACAAACCTCCAGTGGGCTAATAGAAGTTCCAGCTTGGAACTTATCAAACCTGCTTGTTAGTGCCTGCACAGAACTGGTTAACATAGTCAAAGCATCTACATCAAGTTTACCTCCCTTTTTCACATTCTGCCGACCTCCTGGATGGTAGTTATCGTTGGCCGCCATCTTCTCTATGAGCTCCTTTGCCTCATTTGGGTTCTTTGTCAAGAGAGAGCCTCCCGACGCAGCATCAATATAGATTCGGAACTCATGAGTCAAGCCATTATAGAAGGTTTGGATTAACATCCACTCTGGAATGCCATGATGGGGGCATTGTCACTGCAGCCTCTAAAACCTTCTCCAAGCCTTATAGAGAGACTCATCATCTGACTGTCGAAAGGTGGATAGCTCGTTCCTCAACATGGCAGTCTTCTCATGTCCTAAATACTTCACTAAGAAGGCCTTCACTAGCTTGTCCCATGTATCGAACGAGCCAGTGCCTTCATCTCTCAACCATTCCTTTGCCCTATCCCGTAATGAGATGGGAAAAGGCGAAGTCTTATAGCATCATCTGTTACACCATTCATTTTCATTGTGTCACATTTCCCTAGAAAACTATCAATATGACTTACTGGACAATCATGCGGTAGGCCTGCGAATGAATCATTGGAGATAAATTGAATGAATTGGGGCTTAAGCTCGAAGTGCTGAGCCGTCACAGGTGGCCTGACAATGCTAGAAAGGAGTCTGGTGGTCGTGTCAGGAATGCAGTACTCCAAAAGGGATTTCGTAGCATCTTCCATGTTTCTCCTACGTCGATTCCTTGTTCTCCTTCTCCTTATAGTTGCCTCGATCTCATAGTCAAATGGTTCAAGATCGTCTGACCGTGAGCGTCGTGTGGGCATGTAACAAGAAAACTAGAGAAAGAATATCAAAAACACAAGAAAAAAATAGCCGAAGCAACAATAAAGCTTAGCAAAAACGAATCACAAATAATCAACTGAAACCGTTAGTCCCCGGCAACGGCGCAAAAATTTGGCAGGCGGTCGCACACCTAGCAAAAATAACCTAACTAACTCTTAACTATGTAGTAGGGCAAGTCAGGGTCGAACCCACAAAGACTATGGTTCACCTAAAATTATCTAGACTCAAGTTATTACTAAGCAAGGATCAACAATGGTGGAATAATCTGAAACTAAAGTATGGAAAACTAAAAATAAATCAAAAGAATATGATAAAAAAAATAACTAAAACATCCAAGATCAAGTATCACCACAATTACGATCGATGCAATTATATTTCTACCCCTAACATACGATTCCAATCGAATGGGGAAAAGTAAACCTTAAGCAATAACAAGGACCTCTCTTGAGTATCAATGGCTTCCCTAACATACAATCAAGCCTATTCTCATGGTATCATGCAAATTAGAGACATTAAACACATTACTCTAACTTCCCAATTATCAACCCAACTATTCTCATGTTGAATCTCAAACCCTAAATTGATCTACCCAATTCTGTTTAAACCCAACTCTCGTTGTGATAGAACAATGGAATAATAACAATACTAATTATCTCTAATCTAGTATTGGCATAATCACAATCAATTTAGCATAAGCAATTGCAAAATTTATTAGAGAATTTAAAGAATTAATTCATGCATCAATCATAATTGGGCTACCCTACATCTTGGAATAAGGAATCTACTCACTCATAATGAAATAAACAATAACAAAAATAATTAAAGAAAACATAATTAAGAAATAAAAGATGAAAAGAAAATACTGAATCTTGAATTGAATGGAAAATTGAAAGTAGAAATCTTGAATCTTAAATTACAAAAGCAAAGAAAATTAATGGAGAGTACTAGGTTTTAACAATGTAAACTAGAGGCTAATAAAACTTAATGATGAAATAAAACAATGCTTAGTGTATTTATACTCCTAGAAAAACAAGAAAACAACTAAAAGACTTGGCGCCCAATCCTTCCAGGAGGCACGGACGTGCCTACAAGAGGCACGGACGTGCCTCAGATCGAGTGTTTGTTGCCTTGGCTTCTAAGTTCCAGGCACGGACGTGCCTGTTCTGGGCACGGACGTGCCTCCCCTGCTGCGCGTATCACTCATCTTAAATCAGTCATAAATTCATATCCGGAGCTTCGTTTGAGGCGTGTAATATATTGTTGGAAAGGTCTTCAAGTCTAATTTTCAATGCAATTTGAACCACTCCATTATCATTTGTATATCAAAAGTTATGAGCATAATAGTGAACAGGTGTCATATTTGTCAAGTATTTCATCAACGTTTTGCTTCATTTTCACTCAAGTTCGTCTCGAACACATGATTTGATATTCTTAAGCAATATGTTTTCATACTCCATGATTATTATACTCAAGATTAGCCAACCATACTCCATTTGCATATAAATCACTATTGTAGGAATCACGATTGCGTTTAGCGTATGCAACAAGCCCTTTAAACCCCTAGGCTACCCTAGTGGACGAGTAAGGTCTCGTGAAGGTTCGTGAGCCTCGGCTTAGCTTCGTGACTTCGTAAAATCTCCAAATTAGCTCCGTTAATCCTGAAATACATCAAAAACAACGAAACTACCCATAAAAGCACCGAGTCATCAAAACACGACTTATCACATAACCAATACATAAACAAAAAAAAAGAAACAAATTTAGGGGTTAATGGTTATGTGTGGCAGTCTATGAGTCCTAAAAGCAGTAGGCTTCTTCTCTTCAGTGCTTAGTCTACATCCACCTCCATGTTTGCTTCTTCTTGATAATTACTTGTTATTGGTACTGAAATAGTATTCAAGTACTGCACCACTAATTGTATGAGTTCCTTGTCAACCTCTAATAAATCTAGTAAAATGCCTTATCTGTTCAACCTTCTCTTTTTCATGTGTGGTGGTGCAAAGTTGTTCTCCCCTTGTTTTTCTAGTATTTCAAGCATGCAAGATTGTAGGGTGATCCATGTGTACTTGTTCAAATTGGATCAAATTCCTCAAAAGCTTCTTCCACTTTCTTTATTATCTCATCCATATTTTTGGGAAATGATTGATATTGAAGGGACTGAATAACTCTAATCAGGCCTAGATCTAACACATTCAAATCTGGTGATTGTGTTGGTTGAAAAACAAACTGAATATTGAACCTATATGCTTGTAATGCTGCCTGAAATTCTTCATCCTTGGGTACCTAATGTGGCCTAGCATTATCCCACTGAATTGTTTATATCCTTTGGTAACTATGGACAGAGGCCATTTTTCATGTAATGCTGGAATAACATGGTTGAGTAACATGTCCCTTATAGCTTCCTTGTTAACCCCCTGGACTGCCTTTGTCTTTAATGTGCCTTTGTCTTTGTTTTTGCTTTTTTTCTTGGCAACTTCATACTCTATTAAAGGGAATAACCCATACTACCCATCATGCAATAGTCTCTTGTGTGTTCATCATATAGTGGCTTGCCAATCATACCCATAAACATAGCCTTTAGCTTGAACCTCTTTGATTTTTGTGCTCTGTATGGGTCTTCCTCTGTTGGTAGAAGAATAAAATGTTCTTGTTTCTGGGTTCAAGTAAAACCACTTCTCATCTATGTGAATGACTTGTTGCATATCCCTAAAGGTAGGATCTCCTACTGCAGGAATGGGGTTGAAAAAACTTAGAACCCACTTCAGTCTTACTATTTTGTGATTATCAGTGAGTGTTAGATGATTGGTACTTGTGTGTGTCCTAAGTCTGCCCTTCTTCCTTAACCTATATATGGTAGAGGATGAAACATGAAGAGCTGCAGCATAGCTCCTTTCAGTGGTCATCTTATACAAGGGGACAGATGTAAGCCACTCATCTGAGTACGTATTCTTTAGGTTTGGGATCTGTTTTACCTAGTTTTTTTATTATAACATCAATAACATTCCCCTCTTCTATGTGTTTTTAATTACATGGAACCATCTTGTTGTTGTTGATTTGTGAACATGATACTTTCTGGCCAAGGTGGATAAGTATCCCCTAGGCAATGAGTCCTCTTCCATGTTCAGTAGTATGTCATCAATAAGAAGCCTCTTTTCTTCTACTGTCATTTATCTCCTGTCCTTTGTCACATCAGTTGCATCATCTTTATCTGCATCATCATCATCATCTGGTTCATACCCTTGATATGCATGTTCATTGTTGCCTTGTTGGTGTCCCATGTTTGATTCATCACTTTGTGAATCATGATGTCTCATGTCTGCTTCATCCGTAGATGCATGA